TTTTGTTTTGAACTTGCCTTGAGCAAAATTGGTGAGGCCCTGCAGGGGTCATTTTAATCGAGGGTCTCACAGTCTAGAGAGCATACTGACATGTAAGCTAACGATTTTAATACAGTGAGAAAAAGGTGACTAACAGGACCATGCCCAAGTGCTATGGTGGTCAGCAACTGTGTTGGGTGTCCTGAAGTTTAACAAAGAAGATAATCATATCTGAGTGTGATCTTGAAATACAAATAGGAGTTTGTCAGTTAGAGAAGGTGATGGAGACTCATCAGCGTTCTTAAAGCTCTTTATGGCATGGAAGGACTCCTGAAACAGATGTAAAAACAGAGAAGAAATTTGCTCAGTGTCACACAACTAGTAAGTGGCAAAGGCAGGCCAAGAGGCTACAAAGCTTAGGACTCTGAGTCCAGGGCTATCTCTTCACACCCTATCAAGCTGCCTCTCCCCTGATAGCATCCAGGGAGAGATGCTTGGGAACGCAAGAGAGCATAGGTACATGCTGAGAGACAAGAGAGATTGTCTCCAGTGCTGATTCTCACCCTGGAGAGACATTGTCTGGTCTTTACCTGGAAGTTTTCTTTAATCCTCTTCTCATTGAAACTCTTGGCCAGGACCACCACACCCCGCTGAAGCTGGTAGCACAAGGCAACCTGGCCTGGGGTTCGATTGTGTTTTTTGGCAATGTCTTTCAGGATTGGCTCCTCCAAGACATATAGAATATCCTTGTTTATCCTGGAGAAAATCAAATCAAAACAGAGATTCAGAAGGTCTAGGACTGAAAATCTGGACTGTGCTGACCCTTTCTCTCAAATTATGCAGACAATTGAGAGGAGTAGGCAGCATATGATATGATTTTTAAAAAGTTTCATAAATATTCATAGAGCTTTATCATAATTGCATCATACTAGAAACAACTATGTTCATCAATAGATGAATGGATAAACAACTCGTAGTGTATATGTCCATACAGTGGAATACTCCAAACCAAAAAAAACAAACCTGTTGCTTTCAAGTGGATTCCAACTCTAGCTACCCTATAGGACAGAGGAGAACTGCCTCATAGGGTTTCCAAGGCTGTAATCTTTACGGAAGCAGACTGCCACATCTTTCTCCTGCAGACTGGGTGGTGGGTTCGAACCACCCACATTTAGGTTCACAGTCAAGTGCTTTAACCATTGTGCCACTAGGGCTCCTTAATGGAATATTACCCAGAAATAAAAACGGATGAACTGCAGATACTTGCAACAACATAGATAAATCTCACAGACAGTAAGATAAGCAAAAGAAGACAGACACGAAAGAACATATATTCTATAATTCTCTTTATATGAAGTACTAGCACAGGCAAAATGAATCTAAGATGACAAAAAAAATCAGAAACATAGTTGGCTCAGAGTGAAGAGGAATTATCTGGAAAGGAACACAAAACAACTTTGTTGAGATATAAAAAGATTCTGTACCATGATAAGGGTGTGGGTTATATGGTACAGCAATTGCCAAATTGTACAGTTAAATTTTACGCATTTTAAGTTATGTAAATTTTACCTTAAAATCACTTTAAAAAATAATAACTGGAGTTGAGTGAGGAGTAGGTGGAAGTGTACATGAAACAAGAATGAAAGGATGTTGATGATTGTTGAAGCTCAGTAATGGTTACATGGTATTTCATTAAACTATTGTATTTACTTGTTTCTATTTGTTCTTTTCCACAATTAAAAATTAACAGTTAAAAAAATATATTTCATCATTAATGGAGTTACTGACATAGCTTAACTTTCTAATATTCTCATTACCATATCGAGTCTCTGTGGGATGCCAGAGCACTGTAGGCAACTAGGACAATGTCCTTGGACTTGCAGAACTCCAACAGTTTGCTCTGGTTTAGGTAAGGATGACATTCCACCTGCAAGTTGCCAAAACCAAAAAGCATCAGAATACATGGGCAAACATTCCATGTGAAGTTTAAAAGTGCTTTGCAGATAGGAGGGGCAGAAGTCTGGGGACCATGCTGCCAGGGGCCATCTAGGTCAATTGGCATAACAAAGTTAATTAAGAATATATTCTGCATCCTACTTTGGTGAGTGGCGTCTGGAGTCTTAAAAGCTAGTGAGCGGCCATCTAAGCTGCATTAATTGGTCCCAACCCACCTGGAGTAAAGGAGAATGAAGAACACCAAAGTCACAAGGGAAGCACTAGCCCAAGAGACAGAAAGGGCCACATAAACTGGAGACTGCAACAGCCTGAGACCGAAGAACTATTTGGTGCCCGACTACCACCAATGACCACCCTGACAGGGAACACAACAGAGAGTCCTTTTGGAGCAGGAGAAAAGTGGAATGCAGAACTCAAATTCTAGTGAAAAGAGCAGACTTAACGGTCTCACCGAGACTGGAGGAACCCCAGAAAGCATGGCCTCCAGCCTGTCTGTCAACCCAGCACTAAAACCATTCCCGAGGCCAACTCTTCAAAGATTACACCGGACTATGGGACATGAAATGATACTTGTGAAGAGAGTGCTTCTTAGTTCGAGTAGGCACATGAGACTAAATGGGCAGCTCCTGTCCGGAGGAGAGATGAGAAGGCAGAGAAGGTCAGGAGCTGGTTAAATGGACACAGGAAATACAGGGTGGAAAGGAGGAATGTGCTGTCACAGCACAGGGAGAGCAATTAGGGTCACATAACAATGTATGTATACATTTTTGTATGATAGACTAACTAGAATTGTAAACTCTCACTTAAAGTACAAAAATAAAATTTTTAAAAAGTGCTTTGCAGAACTTGTATCACTACATTAATATATGTACTATAGATTTCCTTTCATAGTTTTTTTCAAAACACCTTCTGAAATACCATCAACAGCCAGCAGGTGTCAAAATCGGTCAATTTTCTTCCTACTCTATTTTAAATAGTTTTAAAATGATTAAAGGCTCTCAGGCACAGATTGTGGTCTCCAAATACTATTTCCCACTAAAAGAAACCAAGTCTACTTAGAGAAATGGCTGATTCTGATCTGGGAAGGGAAGCTATAAGTTGACTCAAGAACATCTTATACTCTGGAAAGCAAAGATAAGACAATAATGACAAGTCAAAGGAGCTAACTTAAAGAGACTCCTCCTTGCCTAAATTGTGGCAATTTGAGCATCAATAAGAATAGTAACTATGACGGACTTCAAAGTATCATATTTGTTAAAATTCGTAAGTTCACAATGACATGTGCACACTCACACATACATACACAATCGTGTCTTTAGATCTAATCTTCATTTGGCAGGAAATACAAAAGACAGAGTAATGTGTCAAACTATACCATAGGAATCAACCAGTAAAATCTATTGTGTAGGAAACTACAGGGCAAGAACTTAGTATCTTTAACAAATAAATTGAAGAATTAAAAAGAAGGGAGTTCTTAGAGAGAGAGACCGAACCTATTGATTAAAGGGGAAATTTAAGATATATGTTAAGCAATTACAATGTATGGACCTTATTTAAATCCCTATTTGAATAAATTAACTATAAAAATATATGATACAATTGGACAAATTTTAACATTCATGATATTTTATGATAGTAAGAAATTATTAAAATTTAAGTGAACCTAGCAGTATCTTTAGTTTATAAAAAAAATAGTCTGTATATTTTAAGGAAATATGTTGAAACATTTACAGATGAAATGATATAAGGTCTGCATCAAAATAATCCAGTGGTAGGAGGAAATGTGTAACATGTTTGGATATGAAATAATTATTGATCAAGCTTTGCAATGGATACATGAGGAGGTCATTACAGTATTCTCTCTACCTTTTTATACTTTGAAATTTTTCATAGTACAAGTTTTAAAAATTCTTAAACTAGTATTATGATTTTATATGTAGGAAACATACCACAAGGTCAGCTAGAATCCAACCCGAACAATAGAGCAATTATTCTCATTTTGCTGTGCTTAATTTTAATTTTGTTTTTTTTTTAGCTTTATAAAAGATTTTATAAATTGTAAACATAGTGTATATTGTAGATATTAGTGGTTACCATTATCTCTTTCTAGAAGAACTCTGATTTTATTCAGTGATTCCTTCTTCCCCTATGCAGCCTCTGTGCCTCAGCAGAAGCTGACCTACTTACTTTTAAGTCTAACAGTCATCCAGTCAATTGCCATGACTGGTTCAAGAAAGGGCATGTTGTGTTTTTTTAGCCAATGATACACGAGGAAAAGTTTGCGAACGACTTCTAAGAAAGTCTTGCTCCATCTTTAGAAACAGCCACAGGAAACCCTCTCTCTCCTGCTGAATGTGGACAACCCATCAACTCATTGCAGTCCAGTTGATTCCTACTCATAGTGACCCTATAGGACACAGTAGAACTGCCCCATAGGGTTTCCAAGGCTGTGAATCTTTACAGAAGCAGACTGTCACAGCTTTCTCCCACAGAAGGGCTGGTGGGTTTAAACTGCCAACCTTTTGGTTAGCTTGGCTAAGTGCTTTAACCACTGCATCACCAGGGCTCCTAAGCATGAACAAGGAGACTTATATCTCAGATGCCTCTGGAAGCCATGTGACAACTATGAGTGGAGGAACACAGACAAAAGATCTTGGATTCAGGATAGTATCTTGCAGCTTCTAGAGCAAACAATCCTTCATATGTGAATTGATTTCCTTAAATTTTGAAGCATTCTGAACTGAGTTTCTGAGTCTTGAGATGAAAGCTTTCTTACAAAGTAGCATAGGGTTGTGTGATATGCACTTTATGTAATAGTATAACATAAACTTTTTGCTATTAATCTTCTCAATATCCCAACATGGACCCCGGTGAGGTTACAAGCCATCATAAAACTAATCATTTCACTCTTGTTAGATATTTAAATTTTCAATTACTTAGTATTTTAGAAAAATTATGTTTAAAATATTCATATATATGTATATCATTTCAAACATATTTAAAATTATTTCTTGTGAGTAGATTCCAAGAAGTAAAATAACAAAGAAAAGGTATAAATATTTGAACGACTTCTTGCATAATTATCAAACCATTTTACAAAAGGGATATACATCTTTACAGTGTCATAAATTATATTTGAAAATTGCTAGTATTAAGTGTTATTTTTAAGAATTATTTGTTTTAATTGTCATTTATTCACTTCCTCACTTTCCACTCCTCCTCTGAACTGGCTTTGCTCTCACCACTCTGTCACCAGTCCTGCTAAGTGTGCAATAATCCATGTCACTAAATCCAACAACTCCATTCAGTCTCTCTTTTGATTGACTAGCCCCACAGCAGGATAAATCCTGTGCCTCAAACATTTTCATCCCTCTTTCTTGGGATTTCCCAACACACACTCTCTTCACTTTCTCCCTGCCCATCTGGCAACTCTTTTTTTAGTGTCCTTTACCAATGCCTCTTCTGCCTGACTCTTAAATGTTGACTTCCCTGTCCTCTTCATTTTCATTCTATGAACTCTCCCTCAGAGAGCTAATCTATGTCCGTGAGTTTAATCACCATCCATAAATCAATGACACCAAAATCTGTATCTCAAGCTCTGGCCACTTTCCCAGACTTCAGAACCATTTGACAACTCAGCATCTCCAAGTGGATGTCTCAGAAGAACCTCAAATCCATTTCCGAATAATGGAAGTCATACTCTTCCCACCCCACTCAACCAGCTCCTTCTTTGGTATTTTCTATTGCAGTAAAAAATATTGTTATCTACACAGTTGATATCAAGCCAGAAACTTTGGTAATAATAATTATAGAAGAAGAATATGTGAAGAGCAGGAAGAAGAGAATGTCTCAGTGGGCTGAGGGGGTTCACCTGGTTGCAAATAGGCTTGTATTTGAGCCATGGCTTGTTCAAGATCACATCCAGCTGTTTGTGATTAAAATTGGATACTCCAGTGGTCTTGGTCAAACCCGCATCTTTACACTTCTCTAAAGCCTGGAGAGGAAGGAAATGTTTGGTAAACCTTACTGTAATGTGGCCCTTTCATTGACACTGATTGTTTTTTAAACCTGAAAAGCTCTATTTAACATGTATAACTACTTGACTGGATCAGTTTGATCACTTAAATACATTATTTTTTTAATTAACCTTATTGCTATACACACATACTTTGTCTCCTTGATGCTATTACATACATACCCAGGGTAACAAATATACATTCAGATGCTTTTAAATCCCATCTATCCCATTCTCCCATGCCCCCACACAATGGTTCCTATTTTGTCCTAATGCACGTAATAGTATTTTAACAAATGATGTCATAGGAAAGCTAAGAGAGAATCTCAGGTTTTCACCTAATAGAAGACTTTGCTGCATCCTCTCTCCTTTAATGATGAAAAATATATATAGTATAGGATTGAGAGCAGATTCCACTCTTCTTCTATATTTCCCCTTCTACAGAGTTTTCACTCATCTTCTACATTTTCCCTTCTGAAGTCAGACAGCAGCTTCTCCTCCCTCTATGAGCGTATTTATCTGTCCTGGGATATAACTCTAATTCCTGTTGAGTTTACTTCTGCTGAATCCCTTTATAGAGCTCACATCCTCAACCTGGTCCATGGGGTGAAGAAATCTCTACTTAAATCACAAAGCATTAAATTAAAAACATACCTTAGAGACCATCCAGATTAACTCCTTCACTGTACAGGTCACTGAGATTAGACAATTGATGGAGCCAGAGTTAATTTCTTCTGATTCTCCATCCAGTGATCTCTACATTGTCACACATTACTTCTTGGGTGTATGTAACAGTACTTACTTCCCATGTGTCACGGATTGTGGGGATATATGCCATTTAAACATGGCTGCACTATTCACAACTGCAGCCCCCACAGGCCGCTATGCTGTATATGACATGTTGGAGACTTGTCAGCGATAAGAAAAAGATTAGGCACGACTTGTTTTCCCAAACCTATTGTCCTGTTACTGATTGGCTTGTTTACCTGAATTCCTTCTCCCTTGCCCGAAACTTATTGTTACTCACCCAAAGCCCATTGTTCTGTTATTTCCTTCACTGCTTGCTGTATTGACTATAAATAAACTCCTGGGACTGGAGCCGGGGGTCATCTCCTCAGAGTGACCCTCCTGGCCCCACTTCTCTGTAAGAGTTGTGTTTAGCTACTCTCTTCGCCGCCCTGACAACCGTCGACGTTGCAACATATGGTGCCCCGTGTGAGGGGCTGTGACAACGGATGTCCACTGTATCTAAAATAATTTTCCCATTGGCATCCTTTGGTAGAACTCCTCCCCAGGCTGGAATACAAAGAGAGAGAGGATGAAGAGGGTTTTGTTTAAGAATCATCTTTCCAGTGCCTGAGGAGCTTGGTCACACAACTTTCAGGAGATTGTGATTATTAATTGGTGTGTGTGTGTGCACGCATGTGTGCACTTTTGCATGGATGTGTTGTAAAAAGAGGACTTGGGGAAAAAGAATATCAGAATCAGTGAGGAACTGTAGCAGAGAACATTTCCTTCCACCTTCCTACACACTAACACTCCCCCAAACTTTACAAAACATGAGTTCTGCTTATAGTTGGAATTTATTTTATTTCCCAGGAATAAAAAAAAAAATATGAAAGCACTGGCTTTGAGGATAGGTGTTAACTATTAATCAATACGTTTTCACTCAAATTTATAAAAACCCAACTTAGAAATAGTGAGAATATCAACTGTGATCAGGAAACCACCATTGTGATGAAAGGCTGGATCAGAGAGCCACAGAGGAGCCAAGCTGTTCAATATGGACCATGCCAAGCACTACCCCCTTAATCGGGACAGAGAGGTCCCCCTGAAAAATGGTGGAGATTTTCCTTTTTATCTCTGCAGTCTGTTGTAACTCAACATTTCTGTGGACCCTAATTGCTATGGGACTACAGACAGGAGTACAATTGCTTAGACATGTAGGGTCATGTCCTCAACACTTGTCATGGAGGCAGTAAAGTCATTGAACTCCAATCCCTCTGAAAACTGGGGGTAGGGGTTGAGAGTGGCAATAAATATCTTGATAGTGCAGTGACTCAACTGTCAAGAGAAATCCAAAATCATTTAGCATTCCTATCTACCTCTCTCAAACCTACCCCTTCTCAGTAAGAACCAAGTAAATTTAACCAGAATGAGACAATGGAGGTGCTAATAGCAGTGCTGAAACAATCCTGGGCATAACAAGGAAGAGAAATAGCTGACCTTCATAGAGACTGGCATATGAATAATGAAGAGATCTACATAATCCATTTGAAGTTTCTTCAGTGATCTTTCCAGGGCTGGTTTGACCAATTCTGGTAGATGGAAACTATTCCAAAGCTGCATTGATTAAAAGAAATAAATAGTGGTTTATGATTTTAACACATTTGGGGGATCAAGATTTAACATACTTAAGGGATTTAAAAGTGACTAACTAATCACTCAGGCAGTTTAAAAAAAATAAAAACCAGGGAGAAATTTATGTTACTTATTATAAAGCAGACCCTTAATGGGATACTGAGATTTATTTGAGTCACTGCAATGTAAGAAAACTTTTATATAAAACCTAGATGGGCCAGGAAAAACAAGATAAATGTTTAAAAGATTAGAAAAGTCATCTTTTGACTGAAGAGTAAAGAAATGGCAGGGAAGAGAAACAGAATCCACTTTCCTATATAACGAATGCCTAAAAACAGTTTTGCTGATAAGTCCACATTCTAAAAACAAGTTGCCATTGATGTGAACATATATGGGATTCATTCTGTAGAGACATCAGCTCTCTTTACACTAGAAGCAAGGCTTTCTACCTAAGAAAATTTTACAAATTTCAATAATCTCAATGGCTGACTTGAAGAAAGTATTTGTTAGCTGTACTCCCTTCACTAAATAATACTTTGACCCTACTTGGATATGCCCTGAGAGAATCTACTGATGAATAAAAAGCATGAACCCATAATGGCTCAGTTAATTCTTACAACAGTCAAAGAAGATATAATTGTTATTATCACATTTTACATATGAATGTTTTTTGATATTCAGAGAGGTTGAGAAACTGTGTTTTATCTACCCTTCTTTGCTTTCTATGTTTCTATAATGACCTCGACAATGTTAGGAGGTAAATACATTTTTTAAAGTAAGAGCAAACAAAAAAAATTTTTTTTTCAAAAAAACACCTGGACTGACAGTGACCTATCATCACTCCACATACAGCACCTTGGTGGTGTAGAATATGTCTTCTCTCTTCACAGTACCATCAGAAATCTTCTTTTGAATGGCTTTTCCAACCTCCTCCTCATTTTGATATAAGTAAGCTGCATCGAAGTGATGGAAACCTACATCAATAGCCACTTTGGTAGCCTCCCCAGCCTTGCTCTTAGGAATCTGTAAGATATAAATAAAGGAGGCTTGGGGCAAAAAGAATATTTGAAAAAGTAATGGCCCAGAGCGTTCCAAATTTGATGAAATACATGAATCTACACATCCAAGAAGTACAATATACTCCAAGCAAAATAAAATCAAAAAGATCCACAATGAGAAACATTATAGTCAAATTGCCAAAAGTAAAAGACAAAGAGAGAATCTTGAAAGCATCAAGAGAGAAGCTACTCATCACAAACAAGGATCATTAACAAGATTAACAGCTGATTTCTCATCAGAAACCATGGAGTTCAGAAGGCAGTGGGATGACATCTTTAAAGTACTGAAGATAAAAACTGTCTAAGAATTTTTTTATTGGTAGACCTATCCTTCAAAAAATGAAGGAGATATTAAGACATTCCTAGATAGACAAAAGATAAAGGAGTTCATTATTAGTAGACCTGTCCTATAATAAATGTTATAGGTAGTCCTTCAAGCTAAAATAAAAGGACACTAGAAACTAACACAAAGACATATGAAGAAATAAAGAACACTGGTAAAGGTAACTCCTTAGATAAATATATAAGACAGGATTACTGTACTTTGGGTTTATAATTCCTCTTTTTTCCTATATGACTTAAATAACAAATGCATGAAACAATAATTATAAACCTATGTTAATAATGCATGATGTATGAAGATGTAATCTGTGACTATAACAATATAATGGAGGAGAGACAGAGATGAATAGGAGCAGAGTGTTTGTATACTACTGTAAGTTATTATTATTCCAACTAGTTTATTATAAGAATAAGAAGTTTATTGTACTCCCCATGTAACCGCTAAGAAAATACTTCTAAAATATACAGAAAATGAAAGAAGATGCAAATCAAAATGGTACACTATTAAAAAATCAACTAAATTCTTTTTAAAGCCAATAATGAAGGAATTGAGGGGGAAAAAAAACATAGCATTAGAGAAAACATATAGCAAAAAGGCAGAAGTAAGTGCTACCTAAAAAATTTCTTTAACTATAAATTAATTACACTCTCACATTTAAAGGTAGAGACTGGCAAAATATATTAAAACATTATTCATCTATGTGCTATCTGTAAGAGACTCAGTTTAGACACAAAGACAAAAATAGATTGAAAGAGTGGAAGAAGAAATTTCATGCAAATAGTAACCAAATAGAACTGGGTGGCTATATTACTAGCAGACAAAATAAACTTTAAGTCAAAAAAGTTTGCAAGAGACAAGGATGGGCATTATATATTGAAAAAATGTTAAATCCATCAAGAAGATATAACAATTATAAACATGCACACACCTAACAACATATATGAAGCAAAAACTGACAGAATTGAAGGACAAAATAGTTCTACAATAATAATTTGAAAATTCAATATACCATTTTTACTAATGGATGGAAAAACCAGACAAGTATCAATAAGGAAATAGAGAACTTCAGCAACGCTATAAACCAGTTAGATTTAAGAGACATATACACCACACTCCACACAATAATATATATGTTACTCAAGTGCACATGGAACATTCTCCAGGATAGTTCATATATTAAGATACAAAAGTATTCTTAATAAATTTTTAAAAATTAAAATCATCCAAAGTATCATTTTCAAACACAATGGAATGAAACTAGAAATCAATAACAGAAGGAAAACTGAAAAACTCATAAACGTGTGGAAGAAAACACTCTAAAGCAACCAATGGGTCAAAAATAAATCACAAGTGAAAATAAAAAATATACTGAGACAACTGAAAATAAAAACACAACATACAAAAACTTATGGGAAGGCGTTACTCAAAGGAAAATTAATAGCTGTAAATGCCTACATCAAATTGAAGTAAGAGCTCAGATCAATAAGCTAACTGTATACCTTAAGGAAGTAGAAAAAAAAAGTGAAAACTGAACCCAAAGTTGGCCGAAGGAAGGATCTAATAAAGATTAGACGAGAGATAAACACAATAGAAAATAGACAAACAATAGAGAAAATCAATAAAACCAAAAGTTGGTTTTTTGAAAAGATAAACACAATTGTCAAACCTTTAGTTAGACTGATTAAGAAAAAACAGAGAAGACTCAAATTACTAAAATCAGAAACAAAAGAAGGGACGCTATTGCTGAAGTTGTAGAAATAAAAAAATTGTAAGAGAATGCTAAGAACAACTGTGTGTCAACAAATTGGATAACCTAGACGAAATGGACAAATTCCTAGAAACACAAAAACTGACTCAAAAAGAATGAGAAAATCTGAATAGATATATAAAAAGCAATGAGATTAAATCATTAATCAGAAACATCCCAACAAAAACCATGACAGGAAGGCTTCACTTGTGAATTTGAATTTAAAGAATAATTAACACCGATCTTTCTAAAATGCTTCCAAAAAACTGAAGCGGAGGGAACACTTCTAAATAATTCTGTAAGGTCAGTATTACCCTAATACTGAAGCCAGAGAAAAACATTACAAGAAAAGAAAATTACAGATTAATTTCTCTCATAAATATAGATTCGAATCAAGAAAATACTAGCAAAGCAAATTCAGCAGCATTTTAGAAGGATTATACACTATGACAAAGTGCGATTTATCCCAGGAATGCAAGAGTGGTTCAAAATATGAAAATCAATCAGTGTACTATACCACATTATTAGACTAAAGGGGAAAACACATAACCATCTCAACTGATGCAAAACAAGCATTTGACAAAATCCAACTCCCTTTCCTGATAAAAACATTCAATAAACTAGGAATAAAAGGAATGTCCTCGATATGATAAAGGCCACAGATAACATCATACTCCATGGTAAAAGACTGAAAGCTTTTTCCTTAAGATCAGAAACAAAACAAGGATGCTTGCTTTTGTCATTTCTATTCAACATAGTACTTGAAGTTCTAGCCACAGTAAGTAGTCAACAAAAAGAATAAAAGACATCCAAATTGGCTAGGAAGAAGTAAAACCATCTCTATTTGCAGACGACACAATCATAGATGTAGAAAATCCCCAAAGAATACACACACACAACTGTTAGAACTAATAAATGAATTCAGCAGAGTTGCAAGATACAAAACCAACATACATAAAATTCAGTTGCATTTCTATACACTAACAATGAACATTCAAAAGAAATTAAGGAAACAGTAACATTTATAATAGCATCAACAACAACAACAAGAAAATACCTAGGAATAAATTTAACTAAAGAGGCACTAGACTTGTACAATGAAAACTACAAAAAAAAGCCAAAAGAAATTTAAAAGGATCTAATAAAATGGAAAGACATTCCATATTGATGGGTTAGAACACTTAAGATAATTAAGATATTATCCAAAGGGATGCACAAATGCAATGCAATCTCTGTCAAAAGCTCAACAGTGTTTTCAGCAGAAATCAAAAAAAACCTATCATAAATTCACATAAATTTCAAGGGACTGGTAATAGCCAAAACAATCTTGAAACGAAGAACTGAGAAGGAGACTCACACTTCTCAATATCAAAACTCACTACAAAGCAAAAACCAAACAAACAAATGTTGCTGCAAATCTGAAGTTGTTACCACAATAACGCAGATTGGAGCCTCCTGTCACAATAGCAAATTCTGAGACGGGGTGAGGTAAGCAGCAAGATGTTTATTATATACCGATATATAGGAGACAGAGGGGAATAGATTCTTCCAAAAAACCCGTCTCCCCCACTGGAGATCGCCTGAAGGCTTTTATAGGGACAGGATTATGGATCTTAGAAGTTTGTGTTATCTTCCCCTTGAGGTGGTGATGTCTTAGATGAGTTAACCTTCTACTGATATTCTTAGAGGTTATCTGGTAACATCCTTGGGGATTATCTGGGGACATCCTGTTTTTCTTGTCACAAGATGGGTGCTTTGTTTGGGTTTTTATTCTTAGATCATTATCTCTTGTTTTCCACCCTCCAGGGAGGAACATCAGTTAATCTTAGACCTTGTGTAGAGACTGGAACTGGAGGGAAAAACAAAATCACGAGACAATGCGGCGGTTAGCAATGGGGAGTAAATAACAGTGATCCAGGCCTATGCAACCTCTTCCAAAGTGATCAAAATAGTGTGATACTGGCATAAGGATAGATATATAAACCCATGGACTAGAACTGAAGGTCCAGAAATAACCCTTCACATCTACAGTCAACTAATTTTCAACAAGGTTGCCACAACCATTCAATAGAGAAAGAACAGTCTGCCCAACAAATGGTACTGGGAAAACCTGGGTATCCACGTGCAAAAGAAAGAAGTCAGAGCCTTTCCTTACCATACACAAAAATTAACTCAAAATAGATCAAAAATACATATTTAAGAGCTAAAACTGTAAGAGCCTTAAAAGAAAACAGGGGCAGAACTTTATGACTCTGGATTTGGCAATGGTTTCTTAAATATGTAACAAATAACACAGCAACAAAAGAAAAAACAGAGAAATTAGTCATCAATAAAACTACAAACTTTTTTTTTTTGCACCAAAGGACACTTTCCAGACAGTGAAAAGACAGCCCACAGAATGGAAGAAAGTATTGGCAAATCATATACCTGACAAGGGTTTAATATTCAGAATATGCAAAGAATTCCTACAATTGAACAGCAAAAAGACATACAGCTTGATACAACTATTTTGGAAAATGATTTGGTGCTTTCTTAGAAAGCTAGAAATAGAAATACCATACAATCCAGCAATCCCACTCCTAGGAATCTACCCTAGAGAAAGAAGAGCTGTCACACTAATAGACATATGCACACCCATGTTCACAGCAGCATTGTTCACAACAGCAAAAAGATGGAAACAACCAGAAGCCCATCAACAGATGAATGGATAAGCAAACTATGGTACATACACACAATGGAGTACCACGCAATGATAAAGAACAATGATGAATCTGTGAAGCATCTCATAACATGAATGAAACTGGAGGACATTATGCTGAGTGAAATAAGTCAGTCACAAAAGGACAAATATTGTATGAGACCGCTATTGTAAAAA